ATGTGACAGAGAACAGGGACCTGCCCCCCAGAGCTGCAGCTGTAAAGCATCCACCCACTCCCCCCACCAGAGGTTTGAGGCATGAGAAATCCCATTTTATCTGAGAAAGTCCTTAGTACCTTTGCCTGATACTCCTTGATGAAGGGGTGATTTTTATGAGCATCTTTCAACTGTGACAAATAGCGATTTGTAACCTGAGGGGAGGAGAGAGAGAAGCTGAAGTGAACACCTGTATTTCCACAAACACTTCCTGACTGCTGAGGACGTGAGCTCCCTGCACCCACAACTATTTACTTTTGGGCAATCTTTCTTTTAAGGCCAATCCTGATGGGAACAGATAAAATAGCAAAGCCCAAGGGAAGTTGCCAGCAGGAGCAGGGGGGCTGTGCTGCTTGCTGAGCACCACCAGCCAAGCCTCACCTCTGGGGGTTTGCCCAAGTGCTGGGACAGGACCACGAGGTTGATCAGGGTCTCAGGATGGCCACTGTCCTGCAAACAAGAACAAGCACCTCATGTATCTGACTCAGCTCTACCCTGCTCAAGTGTAGCAACCAGCTCTGCACCAACGAGCTCTGCCAAGCCCAGAGCTCACCCTATGGGAACTGGCAAGGTAGGATCACAGGATCATGGGAAAGTTTGGGTTGGAAAGGACCTTAAAGATCATCCATTCCAACCCCCCTGCACAGGCAGCGAGGTGTTCGCGTCCCTTTGGGAACGCCGCAGGTGCAGCAAAACCGGGAGTTTGGGTTAAAAAAAAAGCCTTGTCCCGGTGCTGGGCTGTGCTTCCTTCCTCGGGCAGGCCCGAGGAGCTGCGTCCCGAGGTGGTGGCCGAGCAGGGAGCTGTCCTGAAAAGACTGGAGACATTAAAACAAGTGAACGTTCCAGCGTTTGGCCCGAACTTCTTTTAAATTGGCGTTTATTAAACAATGAGGCGGCTGCTTTGTTCCAAAAGACGTGAAAAGCATAAACAGTTATCCTAAGTACCGGTTGGAGGAGGATGAGCACGGTTGAGGATCAATAGATCTGTAATTTTATTGATAGGGTAACATCCCTAAGGTAGGATCCAGGTGGAGTTTATTACAGCTTCTGAAAACGTAAAGTTACTTACATGTGATGTTCCTTTTAGGCCTAAGTGCACATCAGTGAAGGCTTGTGCTCTTTCTATAGAAATTGTTTCATAAATCCGTCTTTGAATACATTTAAGTGCTACAGGTTTGCATTTTAATAATACACTGCTTTTGTGCTTTTAAACATCTAAGGTGCCGAACAAGAATTGTAAACTGTGAAGTAACTACTATGGGAAAGACTAAGTAAAGCATTGGAGGCGGATGATTTTGACAATAAAGAGGGTGTATGTGGTGAGTGTTTAATATTTATTGCATTTAATATTACAAAATACTATTTATTGTTTTCAGATGTAGTGTTAAAAGCAAAGCCTGTAGAGCCAGCTCTGCTGTATTATGTACTTACAGGTACACCTGTGACAAAGGCTTTCTATAATCATAGCTTGATGTGTGTACCACCTTTTTAGTAATGGCATGCCATTTTATTTTAAGTTTATATATCAGCTGTGCCTACCTTGAAAATATATATTTTAAATTTTTTTTTGCGATTAAATGATTTTGCAAATAATTCTGTACATTTCAGTTCTTTGCAGTGGTATACAAAAGCATTTAAATTGTGCTCCTGGAATATATATCCTACTATCTTTGAAATTATCTGTGTTTACATCTTTTGTTCATTATAAAAGCATATGGATTGAAGGAATATTCTGAATGAATGAAGAACAAATACAGTACTGTTGAATAATCTTGTGGGGTAGATTAATCTATAGCCTCGATTTCTCTCAGGGTGGGTTGCTGTAGCAACCTCCCCAGCTCACTTTAAAATAATTTTGTGAAGATCACTTCAAGCGCTTTACCCAGCGTGGGCCAAGTTTAAAAGCAGCCAGACATGGGAAGAAGTGTTATACTGCATTGCTCTTACAAGATAGGGAGGTGGTGGAAGAGAGCGAGGCGTCGAGTGGAGTGGGGTTGAGCAGAACTTTAAACAGAAAATAGAAACCAAGCCACCCCAGGGTTAAGATGCAAAGGAGGTGGATCATTTCATAGTAACCTTACTGCTTTTCAGTTTAAACGCCGGTAAAAGATGTGAGCTGGCAATCTTATTTCTCCTGAGGGAAAGATGTGTTCTGCATCCACAAAAGAACAAAAACGGACTTTGATAATCATCTTCAAAGGAAATGTTACCTTGAGATAATCACACTTGTAAGGTGAAAAGATATTTGGATACACCCTTGACTCTTTGATAAAACTTTGGAGATCTGATTTTGTAATTATTGCATTTTGACTGATGCCTCATTGTTTCAAGCGTTGCATGCCTCAGGTGGTGGATGAAGAGAAAAAATTATTTTGTCAGCAGACCTACACGTGACCTGTGGACAGCAAAAAAAGAGTCTGTTTGAGTCCTGGGCCAGAAATTTGAAAAGGGTGCATTTGCGGAGAATCAGTGCAAGTACAGATACCAGAACAAAGGTTTTTCACTGTTTGAAATTATTCCAGATCTGAAAATTAAATGCGGCAAAAGAGAGGAAAAAACCCTGAACACTTCAAAAGAGACTGCACAAATTCATGCCTCATCTAACCCTGAGAGGAGCGAGACAGCCTGACCCCTCCCTTTATTTCTGTGTGTCCATCCAGCATCTGAATTCTGCTTTAAAAAATCGAGGTGTCCTTTACGTGGATTTGATGAATTGTACTCATGACAAAAACTTGGCATGGCTTTAAGGTGCTCCAGTATGTGAAGGTCACAACTATTTAAAGATTAGACCACAAGTGCTCACGTGGAGTTGTAGGATATGCGCTAAGCTGCTGTATACTTTAATTTTCTGAAATACTTGCCTACTCTAATAATTGCTTTCAAGATATGACAGTGCTCGTATTCTGTCTTGCCAGCCGAAGGGCTGTGTTACCAACTAGCCAGAAACCTGAAAACGTACATATCCTGCACAAAATAAAGCAGATGACAGTCATTTTCAATTAGAGCACAAAAGTGTGAAGTCTTAACACGGGTTTCTATTTTTGCCACTGAGAAAACATGAATATTACTGAATAGTCGGGTGCTGTGCTGGGAGACCAAAATTGTCTGCAGAAGAGGCATAACAAGGGTACAACCCATGCCACTGTTCCATGTTTCTTCTCTGCGGTGCTTCATGCCAAAGCAGAGGCTGAGAAAGTATTTCTTCCCCAATATTACTTGGGCTCTGGTGCTGACACTGCCGAGCATATGTGCCTCTCACCACCCTGGACAATGTGCTTGGCTTGTGTCTGGCTGCCTGGTGGCTGTAGGCACATCACTATTAACTGTCATTGTTCTGGGTAACTGTCTGTCCATTGACACTTGTCCACTCTGGAGTTTATTCTCAGCGAGACAGAGCAGGGCATGATGAGACCCAACAGTCACTACAGGTTATTCTCCTGGGATCTGCATGGAGAGCAGTTGCAGGGTGCTTGTAAGAACTGCCTTAGCTTCGTTTTCCTCTGGCCGTGCTTTGAGGATCCATGTTTTCAGAAATACAGCTGAATTGAGAAGGCATTTATTCACTGTCAAATACAGAACTTCGGAAGTAGGTCAGTGGCCCAATGAGATGTTTATAGGGGAAAAGGCTGTGCGACCAAGGACTCGTATCAAAATAAACCAAATACGTATTTTGTCACTGTTGTTCAAATTCAGTTGTTTAGCTTCATCACACGTGCTGTTCCTAATTCCTGTACCGTAATCTATCATAGAAATAATTGTCTGTGCCTTTATAAACTCCCCTGTGGCCCTTGGAGGATCATAAAAGTTGGCTGGGTACATAGAAATTAAAACAAGTATCTGCAAAGTCTGGTTTCACTCACGAGTTACTGGATGTGCTTAATTCGGACTGAAGGCTCACATACAGTGCAGTCCTTTCAGTCCGGTTTTCACAGCAAATGAACCTATTTAAAAAAAAAAAAAAGTCCTGTCATTTTCCACAGTGTGTGCCGCTCAAGCTGCATTTCTGTAGGTCAGCCTGACAAGAGACCGTCTCCTCCGGCCGTGGCTGGGACCCCGGCGAGGAGGTGAGAGGGGTTTGGTCTGGGCAGCATTCCCTTTCAGAGAAGGAGGTGCTGCCCCAAACTTTGCCGTCGGGCATGGCTCCCGGTCTGGGCACCGTGGCTGGGGAGCGGGGGGTGAACCGCCCGCGGTGGGATGCGAAGCCTGATGAGTTTGGGAAGTTGGAGCTGCTCAGCAGACGGAGGGCTCCGGGAGAAGGAGCCCGGCAAAGGTGCGAGGAGCCGGGGGCAGGAATTCTCCGTGGGGGAGGGATGGGGATGCCGAGAGCCCCGCGGCCCCCGGCGCTGCGGGGACAAGGGGCGATGGCCGCGGGTCTGCTGCCCTCCCCTCGCGAATCCCTCCCGGAGAGGTGTGTGAGCGGAGCGGTGCTGCCGCGCCAAGAGGGGACGTTTCGCAGCCCCTCCGCCCCAGGCGCAGCTCCAGCCCCTTTGCAGCGGTCCTGCCGTCCTCAACTCTCCGGGAGGGGTGGGGAAACGTGCACCGGCTCGCCGTGTTGTGTTCGCTCGGTGTAATAAAGGGTTGTCATTAGGTTTGCGTGTGGCGTGTGCCCGTTGCCCCCACCGTGAAACTGAAATTAGCGAAATGTCAGGAATGGAAAAGATTGATTCACCCAAGATGCAATTATCATTTAAAAAGTGCTTGATTGAGGTGCTGATGTTCAGTGATTTATTCTGCATACCATATACATAATTAAAGTAGTGTAGTGGAGCAATTTATCAATCTAGTTTAGACTAGAGGGGCAAGGAAGGGAGCTGCTGCTGCTGCCCCTTCTGCTGCCCTATGTTTGTTTTATTAAAACGATTTCGGGATCTGATCCCGCCCCCTTTTTGCAAGAGTGAAACTGATTATTTCTCCAGCTCGGGAGGAGAGAGTCATTCGTTTGGGATTGTGGGAGAGAGAGAGAGAGAGAGAGAAATAGAGAGACGGAGAAGGAGAAGAAAAGGGAGGAAAGAGGGAGCGAAGCAGAAAAGGACACCTCATCAGGCGTGTAGTTCGAATCCCTTCCTCGCCTCCCCCTTCCCCTCCGCGATGTTACAAAGGCTGTGAGCTGCTCGCCTTTTCCCATTCGCCTGCTGTCACTTCCTTCCTGGACGCTTTCAGGACGAGTCCGGTTACTTTTAATCCGACCAGCAGCTCAGCCACTTTCTCCTCCTCCAGGCTGCACACACGCGCGCACACACACACACACACACACCAGACGTCTTCTGGCTGCTTATTGGATTGACTTTGAAGGTTGTGTGTGTGATTCAAGGAGGCTGCATGTTGAACCAGGTGGTGAATATTTAAGGCTGGAAGAAGTAAAGGGATTTTTTCTTTTTCCTATGAAAGGAAAATATCTCAAGGACTAGTCTGATCATCCAAACAGCTAAATGTTTATAATGTAAGTACATGTGAAATTGAGCATCGGAATAAAATACAGTGGCTATGGTACAAATGCCCTCTGTACATGTCCTATTGCATTTGAAGAATGCATCAGTCATTGTATGTGGACTGGGACTGAGGTTGCTTGCAGACTTTTGAAGTGTGTAAGTGCACTGTCAATTGCTTAAAAGTAACTTTTTAGATAAGTAACATAGTTAAATCACTGTCTAGTGAATTATTGCTGACTTGTCTCTATCTGTGTCTTCAGTGTTTAAACTTTGATGAAGTTAGCTTACATCATTTGTGTGCTTGATCTTGTGAAGTGCTTGAAGCTTATTTGATTTGAATAGTCCACCAAATGCTATGACCTTGTAGTGCTTGCACCCTGATTTATCAAACTGAGGAAACAATACAGCTTGAGTGAAATGCTCTTAAACTTCACTGTATCATAGGCTCTTCAGTTCTGGAGTTTAGGTAGTGCATGCTTCCATGTGTTTAACTTTGTGCATCTTTCATTTGAATACTTGTGTTTGAGATGGAAAGACCCCTTCTACTGATGTGGGAATTTAAGTAATGAGCTCCAAGCCTCTTTTGCAATAGTCTACTTTGGTCTTTACATAGTACTTTTAGCAATCTATGTTTTTTTAACATGGGGGAATAGAGCTAATCAGCCTTATAAAACTGGCTGGTTTAGTTGCAATACAGTTACTTGCAGGCTAAGATAACATTTAATGTAAATGTGAGACTTATAAGACTGCATTATGTAACTGTAATATTTACTGTTTCCCATAAAACTTAGTCTGACCTTTTGTCAGCCTGAAAAACAAAACAAGTATAAAGACAAGCTAATTACTCCTTTTTTGTTATTTTATTTCAAAAGGAAAAAAAAAAAGCAGCACAGAGCAAAACAAAACTTAATGAATCATTGTGGGAACCTAAGCATTGTATTTTATGGAAGAGTTCTTTTTGTTTATTGTTTAGAATTATTATTATTAGCAAATACCTGTATCTTGAATTAAACACTGTGATACACAAGTTAGGACTGGACCTTTAGGAGATTTAAGCAGAGAAAGGCACTTTGCTGGTATTTTACTGGTGATAGGAAAAGAATTATCGTGATACAAAATGCATTTTTCTGGCACTTATCTGACCATCAGCTTAATGGCAAATGTCCTAATTTCATATCTTTACTTTAAAAGAACTACAAGATGGATGATAAACCAATTATATTAGATGCAAATGCGACTAGATTTCTTTCATTGGCACTTTCCCGGGTATTGTGGTTGAAGAGTAAAGATGTTTATATGGACTATAATAACTCTAATCCCCAGAGGCTTGGCAGGGCATGGAAATATAACCACCTGTGAACCAGTTCTAACCTCTGCAGTACATACATACTGATTTCCAGTTCAAATGCTCAGGTAAATGGACACTTTGGGGATTTGTCATTTTGTGAACTATTTATGTTACATGATTTTAGGTACCTAACATGAAGTCGGATAACTGGCAAGACTATCTTACGCTATCAGTTTTATTAAAATACCTGTTATCTGTATATTAATGAATGCATAATTCAGATCAAGTCTAATGCCGAAGTGTCTGCTCACACTTAAGTCCCTTTGTAAGTAATGGAAAAATTCTTTGAGGAAGAGCTTAAGTTAATAGCCCTAAATTCAGGGTGTCTATGTTCCTGACAGTACACATCCTTTTATTTTGAAAACTTTATGTATATTTTTACTAATGTGTCATACATAGCTAGCATGAGAAGATGGGACCTGAACATGAAAATCTTTCACGCAAACAGCATCTACACAACTAGTCCCAGTGAAAAATCTGAGACTACTTGAGTGAAAATGAACAAGTCACAGGAGTAATGACTTACAGGATCAGCCTCCAGGGAGACCTAAACCCCTTGCCTGTCCCATAGCGATCTTAGGACTGAGATATAAAGAATGTCACTTTCAGTGTCCTATAAATTTATGCAGGACTCAGATAGGTCTGTATCCTCTTAAGATTACTTGACCAAGAAAAAGGAAACTTAGGCTTAAGAGCCTTGTAGAAATAGGTACTAAATGATGAACAGTGTGTGAGATTAAGTCTTTTAGAGTTTTGTTCCTGAGCTGGTAGTTTTGGAGGGTCATAAGAAAAAGCATGCACACATTTGCTTACTGTGAATTTTCTTTCAATATAGCATCAGAAGATTTTTGTTCGGTTTTCATAAGTGCTCTTAATTTTTGTACCTGCAATGAGTATATTTAAAAACAGACAGATGCCTCTCTCAAATGGTTCTGTTTTTCAAAACATCTAAAATACTATAGACAAAGAGAAATTAAGCTTTCTGCTTTTTTTGTTGTTGTTTTTTTTTTTTCCAAAAGTTTACCTCTGAAAGATTTTGTTAGTTCACTATTTACTAAAGAACTAGAACTACATAGAAGCTTAGGAACTGAACAGGATTTGTGAACAGAATACTTTTGTGAACTTCATTTCTTTTAATTCCACTTTTCTCTGTAACAGGTTAATTTATTGTTCACCAGAGCAGTTCAGTTCATCATCAGAGACAGATAATGATATTTCTACATCTCATTCAGCAAGAAGTCATTAACTGCTATGAGGTGCTTGAAAGAATAAGCATTTGGGTTTTGATATGTAGACTCCATTTTTACCTGTTGGACATGATTATTCTAAATTACATGGTAATTTATCAAAAAATCAAGTAAGGTGTAGTGGTATTCTTTTGAAAACACTGATTATGAAGATGGGCATAAGTAAATTGCTGTGTAATTAGACAGAGTTTATAGTCTCTGCTTTAGTATTTTGAGGAAGAACCAAAGCACTTACATTTGTGATTAATTTTATGATTTTCAAATATTGCAATGTGGTATCAGCAGAGAGATTTTGGTATGTCCTTTGTTGATTTAGGTATAAAATACCAAAAAAATTATATGCATAATTCCAAACTGCTAGAAAACCTCAGGCTGAAGAGTAGGGTTAGGATTCTGGTATTTTAAAATTATGAAAATGCAGTTTTGCACCCGATTTCAGAAACAAAATGTGTTTAGAAGAACTCTGGTCAGCAAACACAACTGATAATGCAAGTGAAAAAGGAAAAAAAATAATTTTTGAATTTTCTACCTTTAAAATGCATTATTTGCATCCTCTGACCAGGTTTAAGGTAATTTTCTCAGAACTGATGGTTCATGTTGCATGTGGACAGGTGATTAAAAGCTAGTATCTTTAGTCCTCCATGTTAATCTCACTGTCTCATTGACTGCAGTGCAGTACAGCTTGTCTATTCACTAGAATCTGTCATCTTTAGGAAATCACACCAGCTTATAGAGGCGATTCACAAAACCAACAGTGACAACAAAGTCTTATGTGCCTCACAAAAGAAGGATTAGGCAGTTCACGTGTCATTTTGATTGGGCAGAGATAAAAGCTGATTGCTGCAGCATGGCAAGGCACACTTCAATTTTAATTGATTATTTTCTGAGACAACTATGACTCTGTTGCTTAGTCATTGTTAAATGCAATTTGAAGGAAGGAAAACTCAGTTTTGACATTACTGGTTTCGTGTTATTTCATAGTAAAAGGCAGAGCCACTTGTAGCATTGTTATACAATTTTTGAAAACACTGTTTAATTCACCACTCTTGGGAAAAATTTTTAAAGTGTAGTAGATTACTGTCCTGGGATTTTTAAAAAATATTTTTGCCCAGATGATACCCTGTAATAGCAATTAGAAGTTCTTAAAAGTGCCTAGGACTATACTAAGTTCACTGCACTTGCCCTGCAGAGGAGAGTGCATAAAACATGCCAGGGCTTTGCAGATGTATCAAAAAGTCTATTAATGAGGAACAAGTAAGTCATTATAGTTGCCAATATTGTGTTCTCTTTTCAAATGTCATACGATGTAAAACTGTACTTTGTGTTGCATATGTGAAAATAGTCTGGTTTGAAAATAGCTAGGAAACTAAATGTTGTCCCTATATTATTAAATATGTCATTTAGCAGTGAGAATAGAGAGTTTTGGCTATTTACATAGTTTAGTTATAGCCTACAGCCTTTAAAATTTGGAACTATGAAACTACAAAGCTGATAACTTCTATGCTAATTTCTTACCATTTTTCAAGAGAAGAACTCTTTTTTTTACCCAACTGATGCCTCCTAGTGTTTCACATAATAAAACACTAATGAGTCAACCATAAATGTAAACATTGTTGGTTGTTTTCATTGTCTTAATCTTAAGTGATACATAAAATTAATATTTATGTATTTAATTTTGTGTGTGTTACTATAATCAGACAGGAAACTCCTATAAATTCAGGTATTTCATCTTAATGGACAATGGAAGCACATTTATATTTTCTTTCATTCTATCTTTGCCTAGCTGTATTTTATAAAGTTTATGTTATATGAAATGTACATTTTCTTTTTCTCCGTGTTTTTTTCCTATGTGCAGTACACTAATTTCTCAGCAATGTATTTTGAGACTCAAATGGGAATTTAAACAATTTTTGGTAGGATAATATTTTGAAAAGTAAGCTCTTGGAAATAGGCATTAAATGCAGTTATAGAAATGTTTGAAATATCCCAAAGTACCTCACAGTCTAATAAGATGAAAAAGACTAATCTGAGACACGCTCCCTCATTACAGTCCTTAAAGAACAGTAAAGTTATCACATTTGGTAGTTGTTCCTGATTATTTTACTGATACATAAGAAATAAAACCGTAATAGGGCATTTTTCAAATGTGCAAAATGTGCATCTTACACTTTTGATTGTATATGTGGATGATCAGTACTTTTGAAAAGGAATTTGTGTGCGTAGCATAGTGGTGAAGACTGAAATACAGTGTCCCTTTCTTTCAAGTTGTCTGGCCATATATCTGATGAATACCTGAAAAAAACACTCCGTTATATTAGATTTATATCACACAATAGTAGAATATTTCCTCTTTATTTTGAGGGGAGGGTGTAATTTTCAAAAAGTTACGTAGCTTCAGTGTGACAAAATGCAACTT